GGGGGGGAGGGGAGGTATGTAACTGATGATTGATAAACAATAGGAGGATGCTTGGGATGTAGGAATAGAGGCAAGGTAAGGATGTATCCTTTCAGAGGTGGGTTGAGAGGCGGGAGGAGTACCACTTTAATAGGGCTGGTACCATCCATCTATTTATCGTGAACTAAGTTTTTTTTTTTTTTCTTAAATTGAGCGAATAGTTGCAGTTGGTTAAGGGGCTTTAAGATGTATGTTAAGTTCTAAGCATTCCTTTGTGGACTGATCAAAAGTAAACTCTTCAAAGAGCCATCTAACTCCAACGCTGTACCATCTTTCCTGAGTCGCTCCTTGGTTACGGAATCAGTGGGGTTTGCAGTATTGGCAAGTGGAAAGAAGAGCTCCAAGAGGAGGTGGGCTGGGAGGTGGAGGGAGGGAGGAAGGAGAGAGATGCAGGTGAGCATCTGAGGAGACGGTGCTACTGTCAGGTAGAGGTGTTCCTAAAGGGAATGGAAAGCAAGTTGTGTAGCCAGGCGATTGGCGGCCCCACAGAGGGTGATTGGGAGAGGAGCAGTAGTTGGGAAGCAGCATGGAGGATCTTAGCCAGTCTTTGCCCTCCTAGGCTGTGTTGGGTGGAGGAAATGAAAGATCGAAAGAACATGCACCTATGTGCAAAAGTGAGGCCATAGCTCCCTCTCATGGCTGTGAGGGAGGTGACGGGCATCGATGCAAGGTAGGGTAACTTACTCAGACAGGACAGGTGGTTGTAGAAGTTGCTGGTGAGAAACTGTAAATGCTGGAAACTCGTTTTGCAAGGGTAAGGTTAAGCTGTGGAACAAGACAGCTTTTAAGGCAGAACAGAGTTCCCCCCAATCCATAGTTTGTAAATATGTGACAAATTGGGTATTATATATTATGTAAGTATATGGTAGTTCACAGACTAAATGGACATATTGATTATGGATATATTCTTTCTCTTTTTTTCTTTTCCTTCAGTTTTGGGGTTTGAGCTGGATGTACACACACACACACACACATTAACATATATAAAATTAAATTTTGAGGTTCGGTAGATTGAACCTAGGCCTCAGACATGCTTGACAAGTACTGTACCACTTACTAAACCACAGCTGCCTCTATTTTACTTGTTATTTGGAGCAAAGTCTGTATAAATTGTCCAAGCTTGCCTCAAGATCATGCTGTAACCCAAGTAGGAATTGAGCATTCTGAGTAATGGCATTACATGCTTGTGCTACAGGTAAGGGTTGGAGGTGTGTGTGTGTGTGTGTGTGTGTGTGTGTGTGTGTGTGTGTGTGTAGTGTAGAGCAGATGTCCACTTCCTTCCACCTTATCCTTTGAGACAGGGTCTTTCACCTGGGACCCACCTGTCTCTTCCTCCACTGCAATAGGGTTACAAACACATGTGACCATGCCTGGATTTTTTATGTGAGTGTTGGAGATCCGAACTCAGGTTCCCATGCTTAAGCAGTAAGCTCTTTAGCAACTGAGCCATCTAGCTACCTCCTGGATATATTTTAACATAAGATAGTTTGTTTCTGGTTTTGTCAGTTTTACTCCAATTATATATTCAGTATATATGAGGAATTAATATTTTAAAAAGTTTAGGGGGAATTAAAGGACATTTAAGATTTTGATATATAATTGAGTGAATTCTTATACATGTACAGACTTCACAATCTCTTCTACAGTTCATGTGCTGAACAGTTAAATACCCCTGGTAGTTTCTGGTGCATGTCCTCTTTATTCAGAATGTCCTTGACTGATGGCGTCTCTGAACCACTGACTGTTCTCTGCTGAATTTTTTTTTTCCTTTTCTGGTACCTCCATCAGTGGACCTAGCACATAAGCTTTGGAAAAGGGTTTCTTTCACTGTAGTTTAGTCATGGTGTTTTGTGTATCAATATTCATTCTTTGTTGCTGAGTGCAATGTTAGCTTGTGAGCTGTTTCCACTGTTGATTTTTTAAAAAGTTGCTCTAAGTACCACATTTGCACTTTTTGTGTGGATGTAGATTTTGCATTTCATTTGGGACTTCTTGGTCATATGGTGAATGCATGTTTAGCTTTGAAAGACACTGCCAAACCCTTTCCAGAATGTCCATGTCATTTCACATTCTGGCCAGCAACACGAGAGTTGCTGTGTTCTCCACCCTCACCAGCACTTCGCATTTCTTGGCTTAACTTTGGCTGTTCTCATGTGTTGTTGGGGTATTGCAGCATGGTTTTGGTTTTCATTTCCTTAGTGACTAGTAATGTTCAGCATCTTTTTATGGGCATAATTGCCATTATTTGTATTTCTTCTTTGGTGAAGGGATTGATGGTTTAAGGTATAATTTTAACTGACACGTAGGAGTTGTACGTGTTTGGAGGGTGTAGTCCTGTATTGAAAACCATGTATACAGTGTAGTGACAGCAGGGTGGTTGGTACAACCATCATTTCAGATACTTAACGATTTATTTGTTTTCATCGTCTACTCTGTTTTAAAATATACAATTAATTGCTGTCAAAGGGATCAATTTTTTGTCATTTTTATTGGATGGTTTTTATTCGTATGGCTAAGTGATGAGAGTTATTTATATTTTCTTTATTAATACTATTTTTCTGTGCTGGAGGTTGATCCAGGGCCTCACAGCACACAACACTGTACCACGGAGCTACATACTTCCTCAGCTACTCATGTGCTGTTGATATAAGTTATTTATGAATTCAGAATTTGCAAGCATTTCCCCTAATCTCAATCCCTTAATAAAGTCTTTGCAGATCAAAGCTTGCAGTTTTTTTTTTGGAGGGGTACAGTCCAATATTGTATATCAGGTTTTTATTTCATAGATAATTCTTTTTTTCTTAATAAAGTTATGGAGATCTTTTCATTTATTTTCAGTTTTTACAGTTTACCCTTAGGTCCACTATTCATTTGGACTTAATTTACATACATAGTATAACATTACTGTTAAGCATTATTTGTTATAAAAATTGTCGTTTCTCTTTGACTATGTCTTTGTTGGAAATCAGGGTTCTATATTTCTATTGGTCCATGTTGTGCTTCTGTTCTGTTTTCCTGTCTATTTGTTCTCTAGGCAGTACCATAATGTCTTGACGACTCTAGTACATCTTAAAATAACATGATGTGAGCCTTCCAACTTCAAGCTTCTTCAAAATTGTTCTACTATTCTGATTATTTTACCTTCTCATATAAATTTTAGAATTAGCTTGTCTGAGTTTTGATTGGAATTTCACTGAGTCTAGCAGTCAATTAAGGAGGATTGGTATTTAATTGACAAGTTTTCTTTAATGTATTTTATCATGGTTTCATAGCTTTCCTTATACAGGTATTTGATACTTAATTTTAACTCTTTCTTTCACAGAAAGGATTGTGGAAATGGAAAGTGAAGAAGAAAAATGGGAGAAGCTGGATGCAGAATTTGATCACTTTGTGGTAGATATGAAGCCCTTTGTTCTAAAATTACCCCACAGGTCAGGTAAGATTGGGTTTGAAATTAGATGCTTTCTTGGTTTTGAGATATTCTTGTTATGTAGCCCTGGCTGGACTGGTGTTCACTATGCAGCCCAGGATAGCCTCCAACATACTGCTTTAGTACTTGGATTATAGGCATGTGCTGCCATATCTAGCTGAAATTAGATCCTTAAAATTAAAAATATTTAATCAAAACAGTTATATTAGCTATTAATATATATTGTTTTATTATTGTAATGACAAAGTACCTGGAAGATGCCACTTAAGAACTTGTTTTGGTTCACAGTTTGAGGGTTCAGTTCATCATGGTGGGAAGGCGTGGTGCCTGGGGCTTGAGAGCTCCGGTCACATTGCATCTGCAGTCAGGAAGTAGAGAGCAGTGAATGTTGCTTCTCAACTTCAGTCTCGGTCCTCCAGCCCTTGCAATGGTGCTGCCCACATAGAGCTTGGGTCTCCCTTTCTCAGTTAAATCTTTCTAGAAACACCCTCATAAACACACTCAGAAATAGGTTTCCATGGCGATTCTGAATATCTTCAATAAAGATTAACTGTCATACAAGTGAACTGTCAAAATGGAAATAAAGTTAAAATTCCCTTTTAAAAAAATTCCTTAATATGGTGATATTTTATTTGTACTGAAATGTGATTTTATTTGTATGTTAATAAATAAAGTTGCCTGGGGGGTCAGAGCTAATATCAAGCCATAGCAGAACCCGGGTTATGGTGGCACACACCTTTAATCCAGATCACATGACAGATAGATCTCTGTGATTTCAAGGATACAGCCAGCGTGGAGACACATGCCTTTAATCTCAATACCAACCATAGAAGACCTGGAGGTGTGTATAGACAGACAGTGACGAGGAGGTCATGTGGTTGGGTTTACAACCAATGAGAAAGCAGAACAGAAAGTCAATAAAATGACAGATACACAGGAAGTAGGTCTCTTGCTGAGGGGAAGGACAGCAGCGGCAGGAAGGGTAAGAAGGTGGTTTTAAGTCTCAACTCTCAGCTACTGCTCTGACCTTTTGGGCTTTTAACTCTGCATTTGGCTCTGTGTTTCTTATTTACTAAAACTGTTCATCTACACCTTAATTCTAATGTGTATCATTGGTGTAGGATTGTTTACTTTGAGCTGTTCCAGGATAAATAAAAATTTAGTGACAATGTCCTCTAAGCTTTGCCAGGATTTTATTGAGATGCCGTGTTATATGCCATGAGCTTAAAGCATGATCTCAAAGTTAGATGCTTCTCTTTCTTCACTTTGACTTTTTCCTCCTCCTTTGGAAGTGACTTCCAGTTCATGAATCCATCGTTAACCTCTGACCCTTTAATCTGATTGACTACCTGATAAGATCAACTGTGAATGAGTTTTTGTTGCTTTCATGCCTCTCATTTCTGTCCTATTATTTCTACTTTCGGAATGAGAACCTTTGTTTCAACATAGAGATTTACAGATATTTTAAGGCATCAGAGGGCAGCTGCATAGTTTAGGGGCTCAAGTGTCTGAGTGCACTTTGTATTCAAAGTGAGGAGCTGACTTAAAACTACAGACTTCTAGAGGAGCTGCACGGAGAGATAGGAGTGTGACACAGGGATGATGCAGTCTTTGCTCAGTCATCGCAGCCTGCTCTGGCCTTCCCGTGAACCGCCTCCTTCTGCCTCTTTTCTTGCTTGTCGGTCCTTAGCCTTTCCTTTCTTCCTTTGTTGTTTCTCAGATCTCATGGCTTCAAGTCCCATTCCTTCACATCCATGGCTGACTCATGATGACTTCTAATAGTATGTAATCATACATGCATATCACATCCTCTTCTGATATTCACTACCTTTTAAAAATTACTACACATTAGTCACACAAACTAATGGGGTTTGTTATGATGTTTTCATACATATTATGAACATTATATTTACTTTGATCATGGTAATTCCCTTGATTGTCCTCTCTTGTCTCTCCTTATACTTTTGCTTTTCCCTTTCCTCTTCTGTAATAGTGACCCTTCTTATTTCCATGTTTTTTTTTTAATATCCACGTAGAGAAAATGTGTGATATTTGTCTTCCTGATTCAGATTTGTTTTGCTTAACATGATGATCTGTAGTTCATTTCATTTCTTGTAGATGACATGATTTTGTTCTTATGTCTGAATAAAATCACACTACACACACACACACACACACACACACACACACACCATATTTTCTTTATTCATTTTCCCATTGATGGACACCTATGTTGATTCCAGAACTTTGATAATCATAACTTTTTTCCTTTTTTTTTGTCTTGGATCTGCCAATTAAGAAAATTTTGTATTAGAATTTCCCATTTTCTTTATCCACTCTTCAGATGAAGGGCATCTAGGTTGTTTCCAGGTTTTGGCTATTACAAATAATGGTGCTATGAACATAGTTGAGCAAGTGTCCTTGTGGTATGATTGAGTATTCCTTGGGTATATGCCCAAGGGTGGTATCGCTGGGTCTTGAGGTAGATTGATTCTCAATTTTCTGAGAAACTGCCATACTGATTTCCAAAGTGGCTGTGCAGGTTTGCACTCCCACCAACAGTGGAGGAGTGTTCCCCTTGTTCCACATCTTCTCCAACATAAGCTGTCACCAGGGTTTTTGATTTTAGCCATTCTGACAGGTATAAGATGGTATCTCAGAGTCACTTTGATTTGCATTTCCATGATGACTAAGGATGTTGAGCAATTCCTTAAATGTCGTTTGGCCATTTGAGATTCTTCTGTGGCAGTAGAATTAGGGTCCATCCCTGGTGCATGAGCTGGCTATTTAGAGCCCATTAACTATGGTGGGACACCTTGCACAGCCATGATGCAGGGGGAGAGGCTTGGACCTGCCTCAATTGAATGTACCAGGCTCTGCAGACTCCCCATGGGAGGCCTTACCTTTTTGGAGGAGGGAATGGGGGGGTGAGGGTGGGGCAGAAGCACTGGGGGGAGCAGGAGGAGGGAAGAGAGGGGGGATCTGTGATTGGTATGTAAAATGAATAAAATATTTTTCAATAAAAAGTTTTAAAAAAGTAAAAAAAGAGAATTTCCCATTATAAATGTATCTCAAATCAAACTCTTCTCATATTTTGTCTTCTTTTAAAAATAGATTTGAGGTATTTAGAATTGCTTAAATATAACCTTAGGTTTATATACATTGTCTATGTGGAACATTCATGGCCCTCTTTTACTGCTTCATAATGAACATGTAGGAACTCATCCCATTTAAGAAATCTAGTCTTACAGCTAAAGCTTCAGTGAGATTTTTCTATCATTTTAAGTAGATAATTTAGTAGATAATTTAAGCTCTTCATTAATCAAGTTGTACCAAAGTGTGTGCATTGAATATAATGTCGATGTCAGTTTGCTAGAAGACATGAAGATAATATATTTTCAACTATGTGCTCAAGCTGACCAATTCCACTTCTGTATTTTCTGTTTGTATAAAGTACACTGGATATTTATAAAGTTTGTTTGGTGATCATATAATTTTCAGAGTAAAAACACACATTTTTTAGATGCCACCTCTCATGCCTGTTAGTGAGATTACAAAGTGGTAAATCCAGACTTAGTGATTTTTTTTGTAGGCAAAACAATAAATGAATATGACCTTTATAAGCCAAGAGATTAGTGATTTGTATAATATATGTAATCCACAAATTGAGTTAGACTGATAAAAATATCAGAGTAGTGTTCGTGAGAGTTAAAAATCCTGTGTCACAGCAAGATAATACACTCAATGGGTCATTATATATGGATTAAATGTGCTGCATTTTTAGGTAGATTTTTTTAAAAAGGATAATTATTTCATGAAATTATTCACTCATTTACTTTAGAGATAGTAAAAGAAAACCTTAAATCAGCTACAAATCCCTTGGAATTATTGGCTTTAATAGATAAAATGTTTGGATTTAATTTTAGAGTGAATATGTACCGCTTGGTAGCCAGACATGGCACTTTAGCTTTCTGTGTTTATATAGTTAGGAGTTAGGGACAGCCTTTCCAGTATGTCTAAAGTTATTTTATTGTTGCAAAATTTTATCTAAAATATGTTTAATAGTATTCACACATTTTATTTTTATTAACTTCCAAAGACAGATTCCAGGAATCTTATTTTTATGAAAATATGTATTCATATTTGTGTTGCCTAACTGCAGCTAACTAATAAATTAAACTCTAGACTGGGAGTGTACAGTCTTTTTTCCAGCTCATAACTATGTTTTGTTGTTGTAAAGTTTTTATTTTATTTTATTTATAATGTTGCCATACCATTTGCTTGCATATGGTTCATTAATACTTTCTTGATAAGATGGTGAGCTAGAGTAAGTTATGCCAGTAATCACATGTCTCGGAAAGCTTGAAGTATTGACAATTGGGCTTTTTACAGAAGTTGGCTGACCCCTGTTCTAGATTATAGTAGGTACTTATATAGACCTTTATAATTTAATGTTTTATCATTGACATCAGGTTTCACATAGTTCTTATGTACTTACAGAACGGCAGCGGTGTGCTCTTTGGATCAGAAAGCTGTGTGAGCCCTCAGGAACAGGTGCAGGACTCATGGGTAGGAAGAATCGGAACCTGTACGCAAAGCTGTTACTGCATATGCTTAGGCGAGGAGTACTTGAAGGCCCTTTTACACACCGTCCTGAGCCAGGAATACTAAAAACATTACCATCATATATGGTAGGTACTGCCGACCATGGCATAGTAGTTTCATTCCTTTTAAAGTGAGTGTGATATATCATCCCTTTAGGAAGGGAAATAATATTGAGTTATATGTGCTAAATAGTACATAACTTAAAACTTCTCATTCATTTTTTCTCACTTTCAATAGAAAACATTCTTTTGTTATATTTTATTTACTTATATAAAAATGAATTTTAAAACTGACCTTAATTACTTACTAATTTTCAAATTTGACTCTTAATTATAGTTTATGAATCCTTTCATTATATATTATTTAACATTATCAGTTTAATGGCTCTTAGAAGTCCCTTTCTAGTCTGCCGATAATAATAAGTTAGAATTTAAAAGTGGTTCTCTATAGTTGATTTAATTATTATCAGCTTTGTTATGAGGCAGTTATTTTATGGCTAGTGGATGAATTGTCCCCATCTTGCTCCTTGTAAACATAAATTTGCTTCTTGGTTTGTGTGGGTTATGAGTATGATATCTAACTGGACTGCTAACTGTTGTTTTATATGTGTGTGTGTGTGTGTGTGAATGTCAGAATTGTTACAAAATATAGGATTTCTCTACATATTAGACAATTTACTAATCAAAATATAGTGGCATGGAATGCTGCACACCAAAGGATAATTCCTTTTGTTGGTGGCAGAGCACAAAAACTTTTAATGCTATTATCCATTGTAAAAGGAATACCATACATTTTGCTTATGCTAAGATCAGCAGTATTGGGGAAAGTAGTTAGTTGACTTTGTGTATTTGATTAGATATTAGAATGAGTACTTCGGTCTCCCTATTATCTGTGAAGCTTTTATCCCCCCATCTCCACGAGATTCCCAAAATAGCAAACTACATGGAATTGTTTGTGCTATACTGAGACATCTAAGACAGCTACAAAATGACTATGAATAGGTAGTTGCTTTAGTCAAGGTTTCTATTGCTGTGATAAAATATGACTAAAGCAACTTGGGGTGGAAAGAGTTTATTTTGGCTTACACTTTCACGTCACAGTCCATCAATGAAGAAAATTAGGGCAGTAACTTAAGACAGGAACTTGAAAGCAGAACTGAAACAGATGGTATGGAGGTATGCTGCTTACTGGCTTGCTCCTCATGGCCTGTTCAGCCTGCTTTCTTATAGTACACAGGCCCACCAACCTAGGGTTGGTACTGCCTACAGTTAGCTGGCACCTTCCACATCAATCATCAGTCAAGAAAGTGCCCTCCAGACTTGCTCATGGGCCAGTCTCAATTGAGGTTCCCTCTTCCCAAATGACTCTAGCTTGTATCAAGTAGACGTAGAACCAGTCAGCACAGCAGAGTATACTGTGCAAATAGATCTCGCTGGAGATAGTGGAACAGAGTTTATGAGAGTTTATTACAACTTACAACAGCACCTAATTTAAATCTTATTTGTAGAATTTTCCATTAATATGTCAGGCCATGGTTGACTGCAGGTAAGGCAAACCATGGGAAGAGAAGCAGAGCATAAGCAAGATAACCATATCTCATTTAAAAAGAAATCATCCTGCATTTCCGATTTAATATAAGGGGTCATGTGTGACTATTTCCTGAGGAGGAGCCCCTTGAGGACTTCGGTGTAGACTTAGGTAATTGGTGCCCAAGTAGAGTTTTCTCCAGAAACTTTATCATGCACAGGGCTTGAAACTAATGTGTTAATGTCATCTCAGTGCCTAAAATGGACTGTTTTCTGAAGAACAGTAGATGTTGGGATATTAATATATTCTGTCACATTTTTCCATTCACAGTCGATTTCATAAAGTTGTAGGGAAGGACTTTATTTGACAAATGATACTAAGAAGGCCTGGAGCTTTGTCTTGGCCTCCCAGGGAAAGAACAGTATGGTTGGAACCAAATCCCATGTCTCTGACTTTGGAGTTCCCACCGCATTGAGGGATTGTTACTTTTAGCTTTAATTTCTGGCACGTTTTAATTGTGGTTACTCTAAATACTGATTTTGTGTATAGTGTGCCTATGTGTGTAAACTAATTGATAGTTACAGGAAGAAATAGAGTAGGACATAATTTAAAAAGTTTTCCATTCAACTATAAAGCACTGGTTCTCAAACTGTGGGTCGCAACCCATTTGACAAAGCTCCCCCCCAAATTTATATTATGATTCAAAACAGTAGCAAAATTACAGTTATGAAGTAGCAGCAAAAATAATTTTATGGCTGGGGGTCATCACAGCATGAGGAACTGTACTAAAGGGCCATAGCATTAGGAAGGTTGAGAACCACTGCTATAATACTAATATCACTTCTTAATATAAGTAATTATTCTCAGATTGAGCTATCATGTAATTTTGCTGTTCATTAGGTTTCTTGTGTAGAACATAACTGAATGTAAATGTATTGGGTGTCTTATTATTTTAATATCTCATAATTTATTATGTATTCAATGATACATTTCATTTATTTGTCTGTAATTGAACTTTAATTAGATATTTGAAAAACTTTTTTTAAACTTAAAGTTGATGGAAATTTTAAGTGTTTTTTTTTTATAGTAGTACATTTTGTAAGAATGATTTCTCTGATTTTTAAAAACCAGTCCATCTATTTTGATGAACCAAATCCAGCACAACCAAAAAGTTCAAGCCCAGAGAAATTACCTGACTGGGTAATGGGTGAGCTGGAGACAGGTGAACACAGATTAAATGAATCATGGCAGTTTTCTTCTGGAGAAGAGAACACGATGCTGTCGGCAAGTGATGTCCACAGGTATGCCATAAAGTTTAAATATTTAAAACTTTACTGTGTTTTTGCAACTGGCTCATATATTGAAGCCTTTTCTTTTTAATAATAAGGTTTTGGTTTACATTATATTTTTTGCTAATGTTGGAGACTGTGAACAGATGTTAGGCAGATAAAAATAACAGGTTTTAAGAATTTACTACATATTTAAGTAAGACTATGTTATATTTTAAGTCATTTTATGAGTATCTGTTAACTGTGTGTGTGTGTGTGTGTGTGTGTGTGTGTGTGTGATTTCATTGTTTGGAAAGTGTAGCTAAGAATCGTAAATAACACAATTACATTTTTTTCCCTTTATGACAATGTTAAGAACATTGCCCGCGACTTCAACAAAATGTAATACTCTGAACATCCATGTTGCATCTTCTGCTTGAATATCTCTTTCCCTACCTCACTGACTGGTGCTATTTTCATTTAATGAAATAAGAATATAAATTTGACCCATTCAATTGCCTTTTTAGTAGAAGGTTAAGCCTACATAGGATTTTAGTACAAATAAAATAAACTGCTAAGTTATAAAAATGTACCAAAAGGTTGTTATTGTTGCAGTATAATTTTTGGCCTTTAAGAGGGAGAGATTTAAATTTTGGTTTTTATTAAATTTTGATATTTCCTGTTGACATTGGGAGTTTCTTTAAGTGTTAAAATATTGGGTAGTGTTGTTTGAAATGCACCACACTTCATTTTTCACTCTGGCCATTCTCTTGGGAATTTTAATTTTATGAATTTGTTTCTATTAACAAAGTAGTCTTTCTGTCCACTATAGTTTCTTTGGTCTATTCTTATTAAATGTGGAAATGTTGGTAACTGGAAATGCATCCATTGTAGATGTAGTCTGGTTGAGTGTCTTTCAGACTTGAGATATCATGATGAGGAACAACAGTGAACACAAATCAAAGAGTCCTTGAGATATTTTATTAGAAAGAGGAAACAAAGTAGAATGGAGAAAAAAGTGAAGGGAGATATGATAGCATTAAGGACATACATATGTAGAGGAGTAAAAAGTGAATGGGTGAGTTGTATTAGATGGTGTTAGTGCTTTTTTTTTTTGCGTCCATAGAGAATTAAAATAAGATTATATTACATATTATATAAAATAACTTTCTGACCCTCTTGCCTCCACACTATGGAGGTGGAGACAAGGGGGTCAGAAAGTTCAAGGTCATCATCAGCTATGTAGCAAGTTTGAGGCCAGCCTGGCTTATATGAACCTTCTCTTTAAAGAAGAATTCAACTAAAATTTGAGCTCCTTTCTAAGTATAATGGTGAAATGAACCTGGAGTTTGTGGCATGAAGGTGAACTAGTTACAAGTCTGTCTTGGCCCTTGACCATGGGTTGAAAACAGTAAATCTTTTTAGACAGAGTCAGTGACATGAGCAGATTTGTTTTGCTTCACTTGCACAGTGGTGTCTCCAACAGTGTTTTTGAAGGATTTGTCAAAGTTAGCCATCAGTTTTCTTGCACTTCCTAAAAATCTGAAAACCTGGTAATCTTTTCGTAAGATAGCCATGGGGTCATAGATTAGAGATAGTTATAGTAGGTTGCTCTGTTACTGTAGTATGCTGTTAGCTGTAGGTGGAAGTTTCTTTCCTGCCTGCCTATTCCCAAATACCCAGCAGCCACTTCTTAAATAATTGACTCCGAGGCTTAGTATTACTTATAAATGCTCCGCTAGTAGCTCAGGCTTATTGCTAATTAGCTGTTATACTTAAATTAACCTATAATTCTTATCTGTGTTTAGCCAGGTGACTTGGTACCTTTTCACAGTGCAGCATTCTCATCTTGCTTCCTCTATGTCTGACTGGTGACTCCTGACTCCACCCTTCATCTTCCCAGAAATCTCCTAGTCTGGTTACCCTCCCTATACTTTCTGCCTGGCCACTGGCCAATCAGCATTTTATTAAATCAATTTGACTGACAAATCTTTACAGTGTACAAGAGCATTATCTCACAGCAGTTAATGAATTTCACATTATTTGTATATATTATTGAGCATGGAACTTTTTTCTTTAAATAGTCCTAAAGTGTTTTTCTGTTTTCATATTGTATCAAAAGTGCAGAGAAGAAGGATGTATGTAGAGGGATCAAATAATTCAAGAAAGGAAGTGCAGAATTTGGAAGCATAATCACTTCTCTGTTGCCTGCTTAAGCCCTCCAGATGTGATTTATAACATGTTTTACATGGGAGAAGTGCACAGATAGTTTTGATGCACTAGTCATGTGTGATTTTGCAAATACGTGTGAAGATTAAAGTGTGCATATTAGGATAGGAAATACATGACATTAACAGGAGTCCAGGTGAATGGACATTTTCTTCTCTGGACCACAAGATAAATTTTGAGGAAAATATTCTTTTTTAAAACAGATCTATTTTTATTTTTATTTATGTCTGTATATGTATGTCTGTGTTGAATGTATGATGTGTATGAGGTTGCCCATGGAATCCAGAAGAGGGAGATGATTTCTTGGAGCTGGAGTTACAGGTAGTTGTGAGCCTCTCAACTTAGGTTCTGGGATCCAAATGAGAGTGCCCTGGAAGAGCAGCAAGAACTTTAAACTGCTGAACTGTCTCTCAGCCCCAGTGGGAATAATATTTACTTGTCACCCAGTTACTTTACTGGAAAATGAAAAAATAATAAAATCCAAACATTAAAAATAATTTGTCAGCCAGGCAGTGGTGGCACATGCCTTTAATCCTAGCACTGGGGAGGCAGAGCCAGGATCTCTGTGAGTTTGAGGCCAGCCTGGGCTACAGAGGGAGATCCAGGACAGGCTCCAAAACTACACAGAGAAGCCCTGTCTCGAAAACAAAAACAAAAACAAAAACAAAATTTGTCTTATTCACTGTATTAGCTCTCTCTTTTTTTTTCATTGCTGGGACAAAATATTTGAGAAAAGCAATTTAAGGAGGGAGGGGCTTGTTTTAGCTCCTAGTGTGAAGGGATGGAGTTCATCAGGGAAGGCAGGCAGGGTAGCAGGAACATAGGTGCCTGGTCACTTTGTGTCTGCAGTCAGGAAGCGGAGGATGAGGAATGCTGGTGCCTGTCTGACTTCCCACCTTTCCCTTTTTACTCAGCTCAGCACTTCAGCCTGTGGGATGTCCTGCCCACATTCAGGTGGCTCTTCCTTCGCTAGATAAGCCTCTCTGGAAATACTCATAAAAATATGCCCAGAAGTGTATCTCCTGTGTGATTCCAAATCATTGTTAATGAAAATTAGCAATCACCGATATCTATAATCAAAGGACTTTTAATGAAAAATAGTTACTTGAGTAGAAGGCATTAGTTATTGATTAAATGATAAGCAGTGGGAAAAACTGATTGTCTGTTGGCTCTCATCAATCCTGTCCATCCTCCAGATCCACAGCCTCACAAAAGTCTGATATCCAAGTCTGTTCAGGTGACCCTGTCACCTCTTCCTGTAGGATTCTGTTTCTCAATTGCAATCATTGCATTTGCAAATATTTATTGTCTGACTTTTCTGTTAGATTCACGAGGTAGGAATTTCACAGGTAGGAATGTTATTTTTCATTTGCAATTTATTTTCAGTTCCTCATAGCAGATGTGAGCATGTTAGAAATTTCGTAAGTCATATTCATTGAGTTACATGTGTGCTTTAGTGAAGATTATTAGTCACTACTATATAGTAATTTACTATATATGAAGACCTTCTAAGGTAGGTGTATTGTGGCAAAGGTAATAGTTCAAAAGAATTGGGAAATTGAACTCTTAGAGAATGTAGAGGGGAGGGTGGCTTTTATAAAATGGTGGAGGAAACATGGCCATGCACTATAGAGGGGCCTGTAACACTATGAGGCATGACACCAAAGGAGCTGGCGAGGACATGCTTAAAGGTCTTTCTGTTCAGGTAGGTGACATGAGGCTGATGGTCACTTGGGGTCATAAAGTCCTTCTTAGGGTATATCATACTCCTTTAATAATTATGGCTTGATTTGTTTTAAACTTTAAATTTTGTTGAAGCTTTAATCCACATGTATATTACTTAACAGAGATTTGTCATTTTACGTATATGGAGACATTTAAAAGATAAAACTAACATTTATTTTAGCTGAACTTACAAAGATTGATTTGAAGGCCAGCTCCACATGTGCTTCAGCTCACCGTGGCACTGAGGAGCCCACCAAAGGCTCACTTTCACTCTCCTCTGTGAGGTTGCTCCTTTTCTCTGAGTGGTCATACTGTGCTAACGACCAAGTCGCTATCTGTTAATGTTGACCTACTACATCTAATAACTTCTGTAAGAATTGTTTTAAAAAGTTTAAGAGGCTTCTAATATTTGACACATGTATGTTTTTATAGTGAATAATTTATTGTTACTTAGAACTGAAGTTTAATGCTACCTCATAAATTTTACAGCCACTTCAACTTGTCCTTTGAAAAACCTCTTTAATCTTAAAAGATTTTCCCCCTTAGTGTTTCTTTTTTGATCACTTTATAAAACCCTGCTTTACTTAGACCTTTTTGTATGTGAAGCATTTCTAATGGCATTTTAGATGATGCTGTTTGTGCCCTAGCCTTTTTATATTATTAAAGATGCAGAGTCCTTTTGAAGCCTTTTGTTAGGATCCCTATTCAGGGGAGATGACACCTTCCCTCTACCTTTATTCCTTTGTAGGCTGGAAGCAGCCTTGCCTCACACTCCCTGGAAGTATTATGAGGCCGTATTTTAGCTCTTATTATCATGTTCCCTTTTTGTCCCTCAAATATACACCATGCATTAGTATATTTAGCATTTTACACCAAAAACTCCAGTACCAGTCCCTCCTGAGATCCCCTGCTTTCTTTTTTGCATACTCCTTGGTTTATGTTCATGTTATTACCCATGTTTTCTTTTAGAAGACTCGCTGATCCAAATGTCATTACTATTTAAATTAAAGTTCTGCTATTACATTTTTGTGTTTAGTATCTGGCTTTTTTCTTGACAAAGAAATATTGTAGTTATATTT